ATATATTCTCTTTCTTTTAAGAAGATCTATGTTTTAGAATTTTCATACATATTAAGAAAACATATTACATTTTTATTTTCGATGCATATTTTTTTTTGTAATTAGCTATATCCCATAAAATTTAACCAATAAATTTTAATAAACACAATTTTTTTTTTATATTTTACAACTTATCATTAAATAATGTATTGAAAATGTAAAGATATATCTTTTTGAAAAGAAAATAAAATTCTAAAACATGATTCCTTTTTGAAAGGGGGGAGTAATATTTTTTAAAGAAAAACAGAAATGTTGTTTTTGTGACAAAAACTAAAAAGTGTTATTTATCACATTTGCCTCTTTTTCCTTTAAAGAACGTTTCCTATAGTAAAAATGTTAACTAGAGATTACTGAAATTTTTCATTACCATGCAGTTTGAGATCAGTCATCCCAACGAGTACCTCCTTACCGTGAAGGGTTGGTCTGATGCCTCCAAAAAGATTATCGGAATTCAATTCATAACCAACACAAAGATTTCAGATTATTACGGGTTTGAAAAATATCCCGGAGAAGAAGGTACAGATATTTCACTTGAAGTGAAAGACAAGAAGATTGTCGGCTTTCATGGTTTCGCCGACCCTCATCTCAACTCTCTTGGAGCTTACTTCGCTCCGTTGAAACCTAGCAAGAAGCTAATAGCAGTAGGTGGTGATGAAGGATCTTCATGGGATGATGGTGCTTTCAACGGGGTTAAGAAAATACATGTAGGGCAAAATGTTGATGGTGTATCTTTCGTTGCGGTCGAGTACGAGAATGGCTCCCAGACAGTTCTTGGCGATGGACATGGAAAAAAATCAGCACTTGGAGTTGAAACAGTGGTTATTTCTCTCTTAATCTCTAAGTGTTATCTAAGTTCTTCTTTATGATTTGAGTTCTTGAAACTTTCTTGTCTCTTTTTTTTCAGTTCGAGCTTAAGTATCAAGATGAGTACATAAAGTCCGTGGGTGTGTACTATGATAAGATCTATGTAGATGGACGCGGTGTGACATTGGTGACGTGTTTGATATTCAAGACTGAAAACCAAGAATCTCAATTTGGAATAGCCGGTGGAGAATATGTTGAGCTTAAGGAAGAAGATAACAAGATAGTGGGTTTCCATGGAAAAGCTAGCGATTGGGTTCATCAAATTGGAGTCTATGTTGCACCAGTCACCAAATGAGAAGCTAGTTGTGTGTTGGTTCTTTAAGTTTCAATGAATAAAGTTATGTCAGAGGCCTGCTTGTGGATTGAGGTCTCTTGATGGACTATGTTTCCGGTTTGTTCTTCGGTGTGTGATGTGATTTGTGTGTTATCAAACATTTATAAATACTAGATCATTTCCCTGGGCTACGCCCGGGGTTATTTCTAATGTTAAGAAATGCTAAAATTTTTGCCAAGGCCATATGCTTAAAATAAAATACCAAATGTATCGTGAATATTTTAAAATAAACATAAGTTCAAACTTAGTTTAGAGAATAATTGCTGGCTGAGGATTTTTTTTTATGCGTGTTGATGACTTTCGAGCTGTTCTCTGTACTTCTTAATGTGGTTGATTGTTTTGCTGAAAAAGAAAGTGGCTGCCGGTGTCGATGTCAGTTCAAGTTGTCCTGTCATTTTTTTTGGACATGATTAGAACGAATAATAATCAAGATTTTTTATATTTTATATAATAACTTGTACCTCGATAAAGTTTAGGTATTAAGCTGGGATGAGGACGGTTTTGTATTTCATGTTCTTCTTGCTTTGGAGGATGGTAAACTCTCTTGCTGGATTACCCCATAAGGCGATCCAAACCTTTTTGAAACCGCTCAGCATTAGAACTACTGTGATTTTACCAATCGATCCCGGACTGGGTGGTTTTATGTTTTGCATTTGTCGTATCTCCCCGCCGGCATCTGGACAATATTGGCATTGTTGTTAATAGGAATATTATATGTCTGTATCGGAAGCTTGATGTGTTTTTTACCTGGTAAGTATCTGGGGCTAATGGATAAGCGGAGTAGGCCTATGTAATCCCAGGGAGAGAAATGGGGTGCAGCAATGATTGGGTCGATGACAGAAACATTTAGCACTGTTGACCACTGATTGAGGCGAACGGTATACGGGAGCCGTGTTTATTTCCCTTCCCGGTTATTTCGTTTGACAAAAAATCCCGAGAATTCATATGAATCTCCTTCGGTTAACAAATTTGTACCAGTTGGGTGAGTGTTGGTGGAGAGCCGACCTTCCAGTAGTACTCTCTGAAGGTGAATAAATTGGTTAGACGAAACTAAGAGAGCTAAAATGTGGATAATATTTATTTATATGTGGAGGCTGTATCGTATTGCTTACGTGGTAATCATAGCATATGAAGCCGATGCACTTCTTTGTCTTGCTTGGTTGGTGAATCACAATGTCCCAAAAATTTCTTATACAGACCCTTATAGGGCGCGCTGAATACCCTTCTTCCAGATGGTGAATTTGCTGACGGATGGGAAGCATGGATAATGTCACTGTAAACCATGAGATTTTAGTTAAGTGAATGTATAAAATATTGACTTTAAGTATATATTAAAGATTTTTTGTATTTATATAATATATGTATCTGTTAAGAGTCCCATCACCAGAAGCAGTTCCGTCGAACTTACAAATAATTGGGTATTAGAAAGGGTAAAGTTTTAAAAGTAAGTGTATATAATGAATAAATTATTATTTGGGTGTTTATCCAGATTCGCCATTTTGAACATATCGGATACCCGCGTAAACAATATATATATAATAGTGTAGCTATTAAATGTTGTTTAGGTTAATGTGTATATATCTAAACTTATAATTAATAAGATAATTCACTAATATTGTCAAAGATTATAAATTACTAATTTTAGATTATCTGGATGCGATTTAATTATCTAAGTAATTACGGAATTCATAATTCGATTTGAAATGTCAAAAACAGCATTTTTTTATTTTATTTTAGATTATTATTTTCCCTTAAGTTCAAATCTTTAATAAATTTATAAATATAAATTTGTTTTTAATAATTAAAATATATAGTATGTTACATTGTTTAAAACTATTATATTTTTTTATATAATCGTAATAAACATTATGAAATCTTATAAACTATTATTACTTGAAATTTTTAGTCTGGATATCGGATTGAATAGCGGATAGGTGATGTAAGTGCCAGGTCTGCCTATGACTTAGCAAGGACCTATAAATATAATTGGAACAACGGATAGACTGTACCACCTTAATTTATTATGAACTTGGGTAGGCTTTCGTTTGAATGTTTGTATGTTTTGTTACATCTGGAAATAGAATATTTATATATATATATATATATATATATTTGAATTATATATAAATTAATAATTAATAATATAAATATATGTATACTATATTTTAACTAATCACTAATAGGATTATGTAGCTATTAAATATGTTTGTAAATATGATTGTGTATTTTTCACGTTTCATTAAATTTCATTTATATTATATAATAAAACCCAACATATAATTTTTAAATTTTAAAATATATATGCTATAATAAGATCTAAGATAGTTTACCAAAATGTATATAAATATATAACCCTAAATCTTCTTTTTTCTTGGGATATAAAATTACAACTTATGCACTACAAACTGTAGTCTTATGGTTACACAGGTTTGTTTTAAATATGATTAATAGATACTAATAAGCATTTAGAAGAAGATATATTTACCTTCAGAAACCATCGATTTGGTTAGAAATAGGTTGCAAAGTCTGTTGGAAATTCCAACTTGGAATAGCAAACCTTAGGAAAATATCAGAATTTAAATTATATAAATTCCTACACATTGCAAAAGAATAGGCAAGAACGACTTTATTTAATCAAAATGTTAAGACACTATCTTACCCCTAACAACAAACGTTTCTGCGGCTTTGTCTATGAGAAGGGTGACTTCAACCTCTTTGCTCCTCTCCGTTTTTGAAGTTCTGTGCTTTTGGCTTGTATGTTTTTGCCGAGAACCAAATTTTAATATGGAAGTAAATTTATTACAGCATATATTTAGCATTTATTTAGCAATATTTTTTGCGGAAATCAAGTTGACCAAATAAAAGATTTTGTTAGTATTTGTTTTGAACACAAAAGAGGATGATTGGTTGGGTTGTAAGTAATGACTTTAGCTTTAATTTCTATCTACAATCATTTAAATTACCAATCATGCTTTAACTCGTTTCTAAAGCTAAAGTCAAAAAAATGGAAAAGTGGTTGTAGGAACCCTATTTTCTAAAGAAAAAAAATTATTGCAGTATGATTGTTGTAGGAATATCTTTCTTTTTATATTTTTTTTCCATTTGATTTCTACAGTTACATTAGATACAACTACATCAAAAACATCTACAGTCTAAATTCTATAGTAAAATTTTTAAATCTACAGTTCAACTAATCACCCCCTATATTTTTAAATGATGGTGGAGTGGTTCAATGGTTTACTATGTACCATTGAGTATGAAGACTTTGGTCTTACTTGTTTTTATAACCGCGATCTAAAAAAAGAAGTCACTCTTTTTATTATACTCCCTATAACCATTACTGTCTTCAAACGTTAAACCGTTAAAGGCCAAACCTTTCTCTTCCATCTTTTTCTTCTCCATATATGGAGAGCTTGTGACATCATTTCAGCAATTAACAGTCAAATTATAAACATTAAACATCCAAAAATAAGAGAATGAAGTAAACTTTGGGTTCAAGTGTAAAAAATAGAAAGGTTAAAACCAATATAGTGACATACGTATGCAAGAAGAAATCACTACTTAGGTAGCATGAACCTGTTTAAAGACAAATATAGTGACATCGACGCATCCATACTTGGAGGCTAATATAAAGGAAATAGTTGAATTTGATAATCCAAAATCCATAGATAAACTGAACCAAAATATGTCTGAAAGAAAAATATGGAAAACAGAGTCTTAGCATAAACTTTTTAAAAATTAAGGGGCTGTGCGTGTAGCACTATTAGCCACTGGTAACCTCCTCTGAACCATGTCCACCAGAAATCCCTTCAGTCTTCTCATCAACAGCATCTTCAATAGGGAGCTGGGGCTGTTCTGGTGGGAGCACCTTAGTCACAGTGATGGTCTGTGTCTTCCCAGTGAGGTTATGAGCGGATACCTTGACAATAAACCTGCGGGTCTGTCCAATGGTTTCCACCAGAGTTTGAGGCACAGGCACCACTTCATCAGCTCCGACACTCTCATTATTCTAAATATTAACATTCGTTTGTCAGTATAAATAGTATTATCAGAAAGGTGAATTAGATAGAAAGTACCTCAAAATAGTTGGCAACCAACTCTGATGCATGTCTGCCAGTTAGTTCACGGCCAGCTCTACCAAGAATGACAAACACAGCCTGCTCACTCTTATCATACACAGATAGTTTTGCCATGTACCTGTCGTGGAGATAGTTTAGTAACGAAGGCTAGTATTAAAGGATTGAAATATCTTAAAAATACTTACTCTGGAACGCCGGTGACCTCAGTCTTCTTGCACTTCTCATTAGTACATATCAGAGTGGTAGCTTCTTTCGTTGCCTTTGAGTGACACCCACCACATGAGATGTAGTACCATGCTGAGCCACGAAGCACATCATCAATAGTGGCTGTGCACTCAAACGAAACTACCTATAAATTTTTGAAAGTTCATTTCATGACTACAGAAACCAATAATGAATGTATTAAACTGTAAACGATATACCTTGGCATCTTCCTGCCTAATGTAAGTGAGCAATTCCCTTATGGTCACAATCTCAGGCTTGGTCACAACCTTGGCATCGACCATGTTAGCAATTTCCAAGTTGTCGCTCAACCTCAAAAGAACAACAACAAAAAAAGAAACGTTAATACCACAGCTGGTCACAAACTTCAAATCAATGCACATTCAATTACATACCAACCAACGTATTCCCGTGTAACATGGACATCAGTGTCCATAAACACCCTTGAAGAACACATGGTAGTGAGAGCTAGGGTACCTGCTCAAGGTAGATGAAATAGGAATTAAGAAGCAATGATATGAATTAATGAGATTGGAAGAGGGCTAAACAAATAACTGATGTACGAAGGGTGCGAAAGCAAATCACTGGTTAATAAATTAGAGCTTCGATATTTTTTTTTTTGAGCTTCGATATTTTTTTTGGAAAAATATACCACATGAACATTTCTTATAATGAACAAATTATTATAAACTAAATATTATCTGTGTCAAGCAACTAAACAGAAAAGAAACTGAACACTACCAAATATTAAACTTTGTTCTGATCTTTTATCTCTATCTCATCTAAGACTCTGTTCTAAGCAAACAAATTATCCAAATATCAAACCGTAAGGAAGCATATGACCAGAATACTTCGTAGCCTTGCGATTACCAGTCTGAGGATACTAATCTACTATAATATATTGGACCAACCTAAAGAACAACCATAATACACATGGTAGACGCTTTTACTAAC